AAAAAAGTTATATATAAAACAATCAGACGATCGGGACTAACAAACAAACAAACAAACAAATAATTAATTTACGAGTGAGATAAAAAAATAAAAAAATTTTTTGTTGTTGTCATTTAAAACTTTACGTCCGACCTAATTCGATTCGCGGATTCTTTTTTTTAATAAAATTCGATGTAAAAACTAAAAAATTAGTTTACTTATTACTAATTAATTTTATTTGGATTTAAACGATAGAAAAACAAAAAAACAAACAAAAATAATTATTATTATTATTAATAAAAAAAAAATGAAGAAGAAACTAATAAAAATATTTCAAAAATTTTTTTTATTGCATTTAAAAAAAAAAAAATCTCAAAGACGAAATCAGGTTTTTTATCAACCTTGATAAACGAGTTTTTTTTTTTTTTTAACTAAAACCTACATTTTATAGGTTTTTTTTTTTTAATAAATAAATAAATAAATATAAAATCGTATAATAAACGTTATTTTATCATTACGATAAAGAAAATTGAAAACAACTTTCCCCCCTCCTCCCCCTCTTTGTAGAATTTTCTTCTTTTTTTTTTTTAAATCAACTACAGAATTGTAAAAACAACAACAACAACAGGAAAAAACCAATTACTGTAAAATAAATAAATAAATAAATTTTTATTTTATTTTTTTATTTAATAGACTTTTAAAAATAAAAAAATAAAAGACTCAAAAGAAAAAATTATACTAAATAAACATACAACAAAGTAATAGAGTAGCGTTAATAATAATAATGATGATGATGATGATGATGATGAAGGTAAAAAAATAAAAAACTTCGTTTGAAAACTTAATAAAAACAAAATTTTAAAAAAAAAAGGAAGGAAAAAAATTTTCCTCGTTCGATATATCGAACGATATATCGATACATCGATCGATACTTTTAAATTCAATCACGCGATTCGATTAAATAAAGTTTTTTTTCGTTTTTGATTCATTCATCGTTTCGTCATCGAATTCATTTCCGGTAGAAATTTTTTTTTTTTTCCCCATTTCGTGATTGTTATTCTTTGTACGTGTTGACGTGGTAGTGGTTGTTGTTTGTTTGTTTGTACGAGGATATTACATAATGAAATTATTATTATTATTATTATTAACGCTCGATAATGATGATGATGATGATATAAAATTTAAATTTAATTATATCTCATTTTCACGAGAAATTTTCACAAACTTTACGAATGAAATTTTTTTCTTTTTTTTTTTAAAGATGGCGGTTTTCGTAAAAAAAAAAAAATTTTTTAAACAATTTTCCGCGATGTTGTGAAAAAAGGAAAATATAATAATAATAATGATAATGATAATAATGATGATAATAATACAACAGACATCAGCGAAACATCCGGAAATAAATTTTTTCTTTTCTCTCAACATATTGCGTGTAAGAAAAAAAAAAAAAAATTTTTTTTTTTACGTAATGACATATAATTTAAAATTTTCCAAATGGTGGAAAATGAGGAAAAAAAAAGAAAATTCTTTTTATCATCGATAATGATAATATATTATTATCATTTCCGATTGATATCCTCCTCGTCCCACCCCGTCCCCGTCCTATCCCCGAAAAAAAAAGAAAAATTAAATAAATGGAAATTTTCTTTTTTTAAATCATTCATTTATTTTATTTAAAGTCCGCCATTTTTATTATTATCATTATTATTAATATAAAAAAAAAGGAAAACATTATGCACGTTTATTTTCTTAGATTTTTTGTCTTTCTAGAACATTCTATACGGCGGAAGAAAACATTAAAAACAAATTTATTTATAATTTTTTCTTTTTCGTGAGCACACAATTTTCTAAAAAAAAAAAAAAAAAAAAAAAACTCGATGAATTTTTTATTGCCACGACGACGATTTAATAATAATAATGATAATAATGATAATAATAATAATAAACATAATATTTTTTTTTTTTTAAATTTATTTTTATTTCATTCACAATTGATATCGTAGAGTAAAATGATAAGTAAAAGGCCCTGACAAATTACCTTTCACGTTTATAAGTAGTTGTCGGTATACGTTTTGCTTTCACTTCCTTTTTTAAAAAATTTTTTTTTCCCGCCTTTTTTTCTATCTCTCTCTCTCTCTCTCTCACTACCCCCACTTCCTCCCTCTCTCTCTCTCACTCTCTCTCTCGATTCCGCATCACTCGTTTAATATTATTAATTCGTACGTCGTGCGTTTTCATTTTCTTTTTACGGACTTATTGGATTTGCACGCGTTTCGCCAAATTTTCACGTGTGCGTACGTGCGTGCATACGTGCGAGTACGCGGCGAAATTTTTTTTCTAGACGCGTGACGTATTAGCACGTAATTAATTACATTAATTAATGTATTTTTTTTTTTTAGAAAGTTTTTCTTAAATTTTTTTCTATTTTTCTTCTCGAAACGTGAAACGTAATTAATTTCACACTCTAATTATTAAATTTTTTTTCTTTTTTTTTTTAGAAAAATTTGGTTACGCCGCGTAACGATCATCATTATTAAAGTTTTTTTTTTTTTAAATTTACGTAATAACGTGGAAAAAAAATAAAATAAAGGGGAAATAATTATTTTAAACAAATTGTCATCGCGTGACGATTTCACGGCCCCCCCCCCCGAGGGGATTTCCCGAAAGAAAATAATATAAAAAAAATTTTATATGTATGTGAATATCATTATTATTATTTTTTTTTTCGGTAAGAAAAATCTAACAGAAAGAAAAAAGGTTATTTAACGGTTTTCTTCTGCTTGATTCCACTTTATCGCATCATTACCATCACCATCACCATCGCCATCGCCATCGTCGTCGTCGGCGGTTTCGGTTTTTTTTTTTTTTTTAAACATCATTAAACAACGTAAATTTTAACCCAAAAAAAATTTCTTTTTCTTTTCTTTCGCCACGTCCATTTTCTATCTCCACGTTCTCATTTTCATCTCCGAATCCGAGAGTTCGTTAAAAAAAAAATTTCTTACGTTTAACTTATGTAAATACGTAAAACGATGCTTCCTCATTTTTTTCTCTTTTGGCAAACTACGACAACTAATTTCAATTTTTTTTCTTTTTTTTTTTTAGTATCTATCGTTTTTTTTTCATGATGACCTTTTCAACTTTTTTTCAAAGAATTTGAATAGTGCTACTACCTGCGAGTACCACTCGTAAACCACCTACCAATTATTTAACCTTACAACAATAACAATAACAATAATAATAATAATAATAAATAAAGAAAATTAAAGAAATATTGTATATACTTTTTTTTTTAACGATTTTTTAATTGATGGTTAATACCAAAATAATAATAATAATAATAATAAAATAAATTATCAATTTCCTTTTCTTTCGTTTAGTAATAATGATGATGATGATTATAATAATAATAAAATTCTCTGGGGAAAAAACCAAAAAAAAAAAAAAAAAATTGTTAAAGTCATCAAAGGCGATCGTTTTTCCTACACGATTTATGTAAAAATATCATTGTGAAAAATTCCCGCACACGCACGCACGCACGTGAAAACGCACGCGTTTTATTCGACATTTAATAAATAATAATAATAATAATTTTTTTTAATTTTGGTCCTTGAAAAACAAGAAAGAAAAGAGTCATAGTCAAACGAATGGTGGCATCAAAATCGTCTCACGATAAAAAAGAAAAAAAAAAGTAGGTCAAATTTACGTTTAAGCCCTTTTATGCCGCGAAGAAGTTGAAAAAAAAAAAAAAAAAAAAAAAAAAAAAAAAATTACTCGGCTGTATTTGAATATTGCAAAATAAGCATAAACCATTTCCGGTCAACCGACGCTCGGACGGGATTTAGTCGTGTTCAGTCAGTTGTTCGAATAAGTATAAACATGTTTAGTTTTGGAAGGTCGAAAAATAGCTCTAAGGTATTATTATCATTATTATTATTACTATTAAATCACTCACGAAAAAACATATCATCATTATTATTATTTTTATCATCGTCGTCGTCGCGATCGCCGTCGTCATTTATAATAAATAATTGTTTTGTTTTTTTTATTCGGCCGAAATTTTTTTTTTTTTTTTGCTGAAATGGAAAGTTGTTGTTAGGTGTGAACAAGTGAAAATTTTTTTTTTTTTTATAAATACTTTTAGTTTTTAATAACAAACGGCAAACCGCAAGCAAACAAACAAACAAACAAAAAATTTTTTAAATAAGTTTTTTCGTGCGCGATCGCGTCGGATTTAATAAATTTTTTTTTTTTTAATGTTAAAAATGTTTTTTTTTTCGGTACGTTTTTTTTCATTCCGGGTTATGTTAAATGTTGTGATGATAATAATAATAATATTGTGAAACCGTGTAGTTTCTTTTGCACGAAACGGAAAAATAATAATAATAATAATAATAATAATTAATAGCACGGTTAAATAATGTGTACATTGTTATGTCAAATAATAATTTTTTTTTTGACCCTTTAATGTCACACGATTGTTACGAAAAGTGCACTAACTACTGCTACTGCTACTGCTACTACTGCTGCCACTGATATTTCTACTACTACTTTCCTACGGCCACGTTAAAAAAAAAAACGACAACGACGACGATGATGATGAATGTATAAAATAAAAGAAATCGAAACGAGGGAAAGGCAAAAACGAAAAAATTTATTATTATTATTATTATTATTATTATTATTATTATTATCATTATTATTATCATTATTATTATTATTATTTGTTTAAATAAATCCGGTTGGATTTAATGAGAATGTAATAAACGAGAGAAATGAATTCCGAGTACATTTTGGAAAGAAAAAAAAAAATTAAATTTCTTTTTTTGTTTTAATCGAACTATTCGAGAGAAAGAGAGAAAGAGAGACAATTGAAACAAGCCTAAGCACGCATTACGTGAAAGAGAGAGAGAGAGAGAGAAACGTGCACACGATGTTTTGGAAAATTTTTTTTAAAAATTTAATTTTTTTTTTTGCAGGGTAAAAAAGAAAAAGTCACCGGACCCGACATAAATTCAAATATGGCACCTCCGGTCATCACCTTAAGTCATCCATTTATAAACGGATGTAAAAATTTACCCGATGATAAAGACGAAGAACTGAAAGAAATCAGGTATTGGGTATCGACTCAGCCTCACCTTCCGCCATTGAAAGGTAAGAAAAAAAAATCGATGATTGTCATTATTATTATTATTATTATTAGCGTGCAAGTTGTCGTTTTAATTGAAGTCATTGCTCGAATGCGTTTAAACAAATCAAGGTCATTGAACCCCCCCACTTAACCGTACCCGTTCATTGCAATAACGTTGAAGCAAAAAAAAAAAAATTTCAAACCAAGAGTTTATTATAGCAAAAATAAACGTAATGAAATTTTTTTTTCGTTTTTGCTACCGTTCGAAGGTGAAAGAGAAAAAAAAAATTCGAAATGATTTTTATGTTAATTTTATATTACTATTGAATAAATAACCAGAGTAAAAATGAAACGAATAAAAAAAAAAATCGTGTACAAAGTAATAAATAATGTTCTTGTTTTTGTTGTACTTGTTGTTGTTGTTGTTTTTGTGGTTGTTTTGCATAAAATTTTTTTTTTTAAAAATGAAAATTATTCGCGCGCCAATGATTATTTTTCATTTTTTCTAATTACCCGAATAAAAAAAAAAAAAAAAAACGAAACCAAAAAAATCGACCGACCACTTTTTTTTTTTCGTCTCGTGCCACGACCGATCGTTTTTCGTCTCTCTCTCTCTCTGTCGTTGTTTTCGGTTTTAAAAATGAACGTTGATGAATTGATAATACATAGCGTAAAACGTGCGTTTTTGTGGTGAGTTTGAATACGACGAAACCGGAAAAAAACATCGAAAATGCGCGTACGTGGTAAGCAATAATCAGCTCTCCTTTTTTTTCGTGGGGGGAAAGGAATTAAAAAATCGAATGGATGGATTTCAGTGCGTGACGAACGAACGACCGAACGGTATTTTACGTCGATGATGTAATGAAAACGACGCCGAAAGTTTCGGTTCCCCAAAAAAAAAAAAAAAAAAAACAAAAAACAAAAAATTCCAAGATGAAATTTGAATGTTTCGCTTGTGGTTTTTCGTACAATTTTGTGGGATCTCAAATCTGGAAAATTGTTTGAATTCGTTTTGACCGACCATCCACCACCGCCTTCCGAAACGAGATTATTTAATTTATACCGCCGATAGATATCGTATCGAAATTTTTACAACGATTCTAATTCGAGAATCGAAATTTTTAATTTTTCCCTCACTTTCTCTCTCACTATCATTGTCTCCCTTATTAAAAATAAATCGTTAACAATTTCCGGCGGGGAATTTATCGGATTCGACGCCGCCGCTGCCGTCCTTTAAACCGCACTCTTCATGGCCTCCCCCCCCAAAAAAAAAATTAAATAATAAAATTTTCGATGAGATTGAATTTTTGTCTCATTGCAAAGGCCGCACATACTTCGAACGAACGTCACGCATCCGAATCGATTGATTCAATCGATCGATCGATCTATCGTTCGATCTATCGATTCAATTACAATTTAAAAAATTTATTTTTCTTTACAGATGAACACTTGTACTTGTTCCTTCACAGCAATTACTACGATTTAAATGCCACGAAGAACACGATCGAAGCTTATTTCACTATAAGGTCAACGTCGCCGGAATTATTTTCTTCTAGAGCATTGAGGATTCCACAAAACGAATTAACCTGGAATATTACGTAAGATTCCTCTCTCTCTCTCTCTCTCTCTCTCTCTTTCTCTCTTTATGTACTTTCCGGGAAACGATTCGAATTTTTCGACCTTGAACGCGTGTCGAACAAGGAAATGAAAAAAAAAATAACATTATAACAAAATAAAATTCAATTTTAAATATTTTAATTTCAATCGTTGACGGGGGGCGAGGGTGTGTGGGGAGAAGAAAGGGGAGGTGGTTTAAAGAGCGGAGAAAAACCAACCGTTCACAACGAACGGTTAAAAAAAAAAAAAAAACGATTTTAAATTGATAATTGAAAAGTTTTTTTTTTTTTTTTTGCGTTCGAGATTTTTACACAGAAAATGCATTAAACGTAATAACGATTAAAAAAACAAAAGTAGTAGTAATGATGAGGAAAGGGGGGTGAAGGGAAAATGGTGGGGAGTCGAAGGGATAAAAGGGATAAATGTGCACGTCGGATCGGTGTCTAGAATCGATTTTTTTTTTAATAAAAGGAGGAAGGAGGGGATTTTATTCCAATCGATACGGGAAAAAGTATAAAAAAGAAAATTTACCGGAAACTCGGGAAAATTGATTTTTTTTTTTTCTTTTTGTGTCTAAAGGAACATGGTACCGGTACCGAAAACGACTCCGGAGGGTTACAACGTTCTTATATATAGATTATCCGATGCGGACACGAGCAAACTTCAATTCGTCGATGCCATGAAAGGTTTTTTCCTTTTCAACGACATCCGGTTGTCCGAAGACGGTTTAAGTCCCGGTTACATAGTCATTTTCGACATGAAAGACGTTTGCCTGAGTCACCTCGCGAAAATAAGTTTGAGCGCTGTGAGAAAATTCATGCACTACATTCAGGTGAGTGAATTACTTTTTTTTTTAAATACTTCCGGTTGTTTAAATAAAAGAAAATTTTAAAATGCGTTCGTTTTTATTTTCCCGGGAATTCAGGAAGGTCATCCGGCAAGGTTGAAAGGAGTTCACGTCATCAATGCTGTTGCTTTTATGGATAAAATATTAGGAATCGTTCGACCTCTCATGAAAACGGGTTTGATCAAATTGGTAAGTTTTCTTTTTTCTTATTTTAACGGATGTTGAAATTTGATCATATCCGGTTTGTATATTCGATTTCAGAGAAGGAAAAAAAACACTATTCGAAAAGTTTTTTTTTTTTTTTTAATACGAAAAAAAAAAGCAAAACGCGAGAAGTTGTTCGCGAACGTTTCAAACAGGACACAGTTAAATGTTTTTTTTTCTTTTGTAAAGTTGGTAGCCCTGCGAAGTAATGAAAAGTAAAAAAAAAATTTTATTTTCTTTCCCGTCACGCTTACAATTTTAAACCTCTGTCGTAAAAATCGAAATAATAATCGTAAAATTGTTTTTTTTTTTTCCTGTTTGTTGTTTTCTTTGTCGTAATTGTTCACTAACGATGATATCGATTGTTTATCGATCGATCGATCGATATATCGAAGTTAAATATCTACTACGTTTTTACATTTCACGTTTCGCAAAAACGGTTTTTTTTTTTTTTTTTTTTTGTTTTCTGCAATAAAAAATTTTTTTTTTTTCTTTTTTGTATTTGTTTTGTTTTATTTTGTTTTCGTATCTTCAAATCTGCAATTAACACTTTGACCTTTTCACCTTTTTCTTTTTTTTTTTTTGGATTATTACGTAAGAATTGCTTAATCGTTTTTTCAAATGTTTGAGAAAATGTTTGTTGAGGAAACGCCAGGTTTGTGTTTGGTTTGTTTGTTTGTTTGTTTGTTATCATTATTAGTATTATTACGATCATGGTTGTTTTTTTTGCGAAACATTTTAAATGGAAAGATTGTCGTGACGAATAAATAGAAAAATCGAGGAAGTTTGTCTTCCGGTCAGGAGGTCAAATGACGGTGTACAAACCAATTCACTCATTTTGAGCTACTTTCCGGCCAATTATAATTCTTTTTTTGTTGTCGTTTTTTTTTCTTTTTTTTTCATTAATTAATTCCTGAACTTTGACCTTTTTTTTCGTTTGAATAAATAGAAAGTTTTTCTTTTTTTTTGTCAATGAGCTTTTTTGTTTTCCGACGACTACGAAAATGATGTTGATAATGATGATAAATTTTATATAAATTTGCTCGTCATGTTGTCATCGATAATATTTTTAAATGTCGTAAATGTTTATTATTATTATTATTATTATTATTATTATTATTATTATTATTATTATTTAAACAATTGAATTTTTTTTCTTTCTTTAAAATTATATTACGTAATTATTAATGGTTTTCTTTTTCGTAATGTGTGACGATGACGGAGATAATGATGATGATAATGATGAAAGTTTTGTCTTTTTGTTGAACGTTTTGCAAATGTTCTGGTGAAATTTTATCTTTTTTTTTGGGGGGGCGGTGTAGAAATAAATAATTTATTAAATCATATGAATTTTCTCTTTTTCGGCGTGTAATTTTACTTTCCCTCCCCCTTCCCCGCTTTTTTCTCAATAAAAAAAAAAAAAAAAAACTTTACGTGTGAATGAATGGATTTGAATTTTTTTTGCGGTTGTTTCCCCTCAGTCTGCGAACTTTTCATCATTAAATTATTAAATTAAATGTTTTTGCTACTTTGTTTTACAGCTGACCATACACGGAAGCAACTTGTCGAATCTTTTCAAAATAGTTCCGCAAGAAATTTTACCGGACGATTACGGCGGTCAAGCGGAATCCATGCAAAAATTACACGGTAAGAAAGAATATCGTTTTTCAAATAATAATAATAATAATAATAATAATAAACCCCCCGAATTTGTGCAGATTTTCTTGCTGTTGTTGTTATTGTCGTCTTGTTTTCTTGTTGGTTTCATTTTACCCTTTAAGGGGTTAAAGATCTTTTTTTTTTATCAAATCAATTGTTCATTAAAATCAAAAAAAAAAAAAAAATTACGCTTGAAAATACATGGTTATACTTTTTGCATAGCGTTCACGTGTTAATAATTATTATTATTATCATTATTATTATCGAAGGATCTTTATATTATTATAATTACGTTTTTTTTTTCATTAAAACGAACGAAATTCTATTATACACGCACATCATTATATATATATATATATATATATTTTTTCCTTTCGTCGATGATGATCATCATTATATTGTCGCGAAGAGAAAATATCATTGAAAGAGTACAAAAATAATAATAATGATAATAATAAATTTCATCACGAAACGATCAACGAACGAAGGAACGTTTTCCCCCCCCTCTCTTTCTCTTCCTCTAACAGAAAAACAAACGGGGAAAAAAAAAGAATGAACCATTAATTTTTGTAACATTTAAAATCGATTTAAATTAATTTTAAGATTTTTATATTATTCTTCTTCGTGAAGAAGAAAATTAATTGTATGTAATTGAGGAGATTGGGGGAGGCGGGTGAGGAGTGGGAAACGAAAAGAAAAGGAAAAAGAAAATTAAAATTTAGGTTGAGAGAGAGAGAGAGGGAATAACAAAAACTCGTTTGTCGAATTCTCAAAAAAAAAAAAAAAAAAAAAATTGTAGAAAGATAATTAAGAAAATCCAATAAGGTAAAGATTAATTATATAGAATCCCGAATCCTGTTTGCGTTATAAAGGTTAATAATAATCCCGATTAGAATGATAATGATAGGGAACAGGAATTTGACTGTGTCTGGAAGATTGAAAATTGATTTTTTTTTCACCCCTCTTCCTCCCATTCTCCCCCTTTTCCTTAACCGTTTTAACAAGGGGGGCCGTCGAACGTTGTGGGAAACTTTAGGGAAACTTAAAAGTTTTTTTTGTAAAAAATGAATCCCCCTACTGTTGCATTATTATTATTATTATTATTATTATTATTAATTTTTTTTCCCCCCGTTTCAGATCAGCATAGAAAATTAGTAGAAGGAAATTACGAGAAATGGATCGACGAAAGTGAAAGATATTACATCACAGACGAATCAAAACGTCCCAAATCTTCGTCTAAAAAAGAATGCATAGTCGCGAGTTCGTTTAGAAGTTTGCAAATCGATTAATTTATATTAATAATTATATAAATGATAATGATAATATTATAAATTTCATATCGAAACGGAGAAGGAGAGGAGAAAAAACGGAAACGGAAATGAAAAAACGCGGGAAAATTTAAAAAAAAATTTTTATCGATTATCGTTTCGACCAAAGGAAAATTTTTTTTTTATTAAATGTGCTTAAAACCAAAACGTTAAAAATTATATATATACCGATAAGAAATTATGATAAGAAAATTTGTTTTTTTTGTACAAAAAAAAAAATATATATATATATATATAAACACGAAAATAATAATAATAATGATAATGATAATAAAACGTTTGGGTATGTGTCTCCTTTTTTACCCGTCACGATTTTCTTTTTTTTTTTTTATCGAAATTGTCGGGGTTGTAGAAAACGTGACGATGCGTACGTTTTTTTATTTTTATTTTTTTTGCGATAAGAAAATTATAAAATGATTAATAGATTGATTGATTGACTGATTGATTGATTGATTGATTTTTTTTTTTTTTTTTGAAAATTTCGTTCGGTGTTTTAATTTAAAAATTAAGTTTTAAGTTTGGTTTTGGGTTTTTTTTTGGGGGTTTTTTAATTTTTTAGTTTAGGAAATTTGTATTTTTTTTTTAACCCGATGGGTTTATTGATAACGCGTGCGTTTACTAATAACGCGACGTGCGTTATCATCATTTGCCCGGATTTGTTTCGGTTTCGCAAAATTTTCACGTATTTTATTCGACATTTTCCTCACGTCGTAATTTTTTTATAGTTTTCGGTGATGTTTTTTGATCGAATGACTGACTGAATGATTGGATGATTGATTGATTGAATGATTGAACGATGGAGTAATAAATAAAATTATTAATTAATAAATATTTTTTAGGATGAAAAAAAAGAAAATTTTAACAAATTTTCCATAACTGATATCGTTGTTCGTAATTTGTAATAATAAACGTTCGTCGAAAAAAAGAAAAAATTTTCCGTCATTTCCGGTGGAATTTGAAAATTACAAAGAGATTTTGAAAAAAGATTTTTTTTTTTTGGAAAATTTGTTCTTTCGAAACAAGAGAAAAAATTCAATAAAATAAAACAAGAATGCTAAAACGAAAAATATTTTCATCAAAACAAAAAAAAAAGGATAAAATTCGCTTTTGTAATAATAATAAATTAAAAAAAGTATTTAGTATCCGGTATAAACTTTTATCCGGAAATTATTATATTACTACTTAATATTATTATTATCGACTAAAATTTTAATTAATTAATTAATTATCAAAAATCGAACCTAGAATTTTTACTGGAATTTTTCTTTTTTTCTTTTTCTTTGCAAAAATTCCAAAAAAAAAAAAAAAATGGTATGAAATTAAAATTTAAGTAGAAAAAAATTTTCTTTTTGTCACGTGACGTCACTTTTAATTTTCCATAAAACATTTGATGGAGAAAAATATAAAAAAAAAATAATTATAATTATTTTTGTTTGGATGAGTTGTGGTGATGATGGTGACGACGGCGGCGACGACTACGACAGGAAAATTATTATTTTTTCATCTGGATTAAAACCTTTTCCACCTGGATAAAAACGGGATGATGACGACGTAATTAATAAAATAATATTTTTGCTCAAATTAATAAATACGGGCGACGAATGTTTTTGTTTTTGTTTTTTTTTTTTTTTTGCTTTGCTGCGGGTTAAATTTCGCGTTTTAAAAATTTTCCAATAATTTTTTTTTGTGTTTGTTGTTGTTTTTCATCACGATTCCCACAAAAATTATTATTATTATTTTTTTTATCACACGCCTTTTATTCGGAAACAAGGGAGAAAAATTTGCGGGCGTTAATATTTATTTATTTTTGAAAAAAATAAATCGACACGCGAATAAGAATAAATTTTAATTTGTTTTTTTCTTTTTTTTTTTTTCTTTTCAATTTCGTTTCCGGAAAATCGAATAAATCATTTCCTTGTTGATTTTCTTTTTTTTCTTTTTCTTTTTCTTTTCTCGTTATTCGAAATCATTTTTAATTTGTTAATGTTTTTTTTCTTTTTCTTTTTTCCTTTTCCTTTTTCTTTTTTTTTACTTTTAATACGCAACGTATAATTTACCCAAATAAAAAAAAAAAAGCATAAAAAATTTTCAATATTCTAGAAATTTTCTTTTTTTTTTTTTTTATAAAAACGGAAAAGAAAAAGAATTTTTTTTTATTTATAATATTGATATGCAAAGTTTGTTGCTTTTGAAATCGTACTGAATATTGATGTGTTGTAAGAAAATGATGTTTATTTGAACAAAATTGAAATATTGTAATTTAATTTAAAATTTTCACGACGTTATTATTATTATTATTATTATGTTTTTCGTTGTTGTCGCTTCGAATGTTGTTATCGTTGTTGTTGTTGTTGTTGTTGTGTTTTTTTCCTACACAAAAAATATTTTAAAATATCTTTTTACATGAAAAAAAAGAAAGATGTTTTTCTTTTTTTCTTTTAACCCCCCCCTACCCTACCCCCTATCCTCCTTTTTATCGTTCATACATTTTCACATACGTAGAAGCAAAACAAAAAGTAAATTTAAATTTTTTTAAGGCGTAAAAGGTGGGAATTCGTTTTTAAAAAAAAAAGTAAATAATTGGTTTTTAATTAAAATATTAATTATTATTAAATTAAATTAAATCGTACGCGTGCGTGCGTGCAAACGAACGATGCATACGTTGCGTAATAATAAAATTCAATTTAAAGAATAAAAAAATCGTAATAATGTAATTTAAACGAATTAAAAACAAGAAAAACATCGGTAAATTGTTCGATAAATATTTTTTCCCTTTCACGCTCTTAAATTTTTTTTTTCTTATTAATTTGATTCACGAGGCGAAAAATGATTTTCTCCAGTTGTGCGTGATCTCTCCAGACTTTCTTCTTTTAACCGCTCCTGGGAGAGAAAATAAAAAAGAAAACTAGAATGAAAAAAAAAAAAACAAAGAAACCGTATAATTTTGTGATTTAAGTGGGAGGGAGAAAGAAAACTTATTAAAACGTTTTTTTTTTTTTTCAAACAAAAACTCAACCTCTAGAAAATTAGAGAGATTGTGTGAGTGTGCGAGTGCGTGCGTGCGTGTGAGTATGCGTGAGTAAAAAAAAAAATTAATTAATTAATAAAAATAAAATAAACGAATGAAGAGTTTCATACGTTGTTAGACAACATTTTTTTAAAACGTTTAAAATTTCACTTTGACATCGCAACGGATTTTTATTTACGTGTAGGTCATTGCCATTGAATTTTAACCCGTTATTATTATTATTATTATTATGTCGACCGCAACAAACAACAAAAACAACAAATTTTTCCATTTTTTTTTTTTTTTTTAAATACTTGATGAATGTAATCGTCAATGTCTCGGTGGCGTTTGTTGCACGCAAAAAAAAAAAAAAATGAATTATCATTCGTCGTAAATAAAAAGAACAAATAATAATAATAATGATGATGATGATGATGGTAAGAAAAAAATAAACGGATGAAACTTGACATTGTTGGTAACCATTCTTCAAGAACTCAAGGTTGCCGTTTATTTCGAAAAAAATTTATTTGTTAAAACTTCTTTCTCTTCAAACCAGGTTTTAATGTTAAATTCTTCAGTTATCAAGTGACTCTCATAGAGAGAGAACCAACAATTTTTTTTTCTGGTTCGTGAATGTGTGTGCGTGCGCGTGCGCGTGCGCGTGTCTATTTTATTAAATAATAATAATAATTAATAATAACTCACGTAAGGATATGCGAAAAATTTCGTGAAGGGAAAAAAGCAAAAAAAAGAAAAAAAAATTAACGACGGACGACCGGTAAGAATTTAAATCGACCGCCATTTTTAAAATTATTTTTTCTAAAACGTTTCCTTCCTTTTTTAATCACTATTATTATTATTATTTATCATTTCCCATAAGTAAAATCTTGTGTCACGTTTTTTTCCACGCGCGCGAACATACGTCAGTTTTGTTTGTTTGTAAACAATGGTCGGCCATTTAAATCCGTGAGAATAATAATAAATTAATGTGTCGTAAGTTTTTTTGTTTGTCGCATGTGAAAAAAACGCAAGCGTTCGAGTCGTTATGTAATTATTTATGAATTTAATCACACGTTGTAAGTACGCGCGTAAAAAAAAAATAATAATAATTTTTCCCTTCCTTTCTTTCTCTCGTTGTGGAAAAACATAACCTTTTCCCTTCTCTCAAATCGTTCCTATTCCTATTTGATTCGTGTTTATTCGTTTTTATCTAATTTTAAAATTATTTACGCGTGCGTTTTTTTAATTTAATAACAAGACGACTAACCCAGTAACTGATCTCCTCAATAAAATTTTTAAATTCAAAGAATTTTTATTTTTTTTTTTTTGTAGAAAAGAAACGACGCGTTCGGTTTGTTTAATTTTCACTTTTTTTTATTTATTTATTTTCTGCGTAATAACGCACGCGTTTTGATAAGATAAATTTGTTACGCGCATACATACGATAACGGTTTTTTTTTTAATACAATAATTATTCATCGATATCGTTGAAAAAAAAAAACGTATCGATTTTAGTATTGGCGATTTGAGATTTTGAAATTATTTATTTATTTATTTATTTTTTATTTATTTAAATAAGATTTTTTGCTGATGTGAAATATGGCTCTAACGGCGGGAAAACATCCGTTTTATCACGGATGCGGCGAAATACCCACAGATACAATAATTTATGTTAATGATGTCAAAAATTGGATGAATACTCAAACGGATATTCCAGATGTTACGGGTAAGCCCTCAATTAATTTCACTTCTTCTTTTTTTTTTTTTAATTGCATAAAGTTTAATTAATGATAATGATAATGACGATGATGATGATGATGATAATGATGATACTCGATTGTTCTTTTAAAAATAAATTTAACATTTTTTTTTTGTACTGTTGCTCAACAACAACAACAAACAAAAAACAATTTTGCATCGCGTTAAAAATTCGTTTATTTTTTTTTATTTTTCTTCGTATTATTACAAATTTTGATTATTAACGCCATATTTAATAAATAATTAATTTTTTATTAATTCGAATCTCGCGTTTAGTTCAAAAAAAAAAAAAAACTTTCGAGCAGAAAACAAAAAAAATTAAATTCATCGTTTAATTAATTGTAATTTTTAATACATCATCATCATCATCGGCATCAATTTAAAAAAAAAAACGATTGATTATTATTATCATTAATTATTTGAAATGTGAGAGAGAGAGAAAGAGAGAGAGAGAGAAAAAATTAACAAAGAAAAATAAATTACGATGAGAAAAAAAAACAAACGTGAAAAATCTCAATTGAAATTATTATTAATTTTTTTTTCTCTATATGAAAAAATTAGAAATTAATTAATTAATTATTAATATTATTATTAATTAATTAAATTATTTCAGGTTTTCATTTGTTTTTTTTTTTGTTTCCAGATGAATTCATATACATGTTTTTACATTCGAATTATTTTGACGTTGAAAAAACTAAAAAAACAATACAATTATATTTTTCTCTAAGGTGTTCGTCTCCAGATTTATTTTTAAATCAATCCCCATTAAATCCAGATATACAATCGGGTTTAAATTCCGTGTAAGTTTTTTTCCATTCTTTTACATACCTCCTTTTTGACTTTTAACGTTAAAATTATTATATATATTATTAATATTATTAATTTTTTATAGATTAATGGTTCCTCTTCCGGAAGCGACACCGGATGGTTACAAAGTCGTCATATTTAAATTATCTGATCAGGATCCGAATAAATTTGTACATTTAAATGCAGCCAAAGCAATGATTTTGTTCAATGACGTAAGACTTTCAGAAGATGGTATAGTACCCGGTTACATTGTAGTATGCGATGCAAGAGGTTATACATGGGCTCATTTAAGTAAATTAAATCTTAACGTTCTTCGAGTTTATATGAAATACATGCAGGTATTACTTCCTTATTTTTATGTTTATAATTTAAAAAAAAAAAAAACGTTCTTCGACGGTTAGTGAACATGACGACGCCTCTTGCCACGAAGATTGAATTACAAATAATTTATTTATTTTTTTCATTTTACTTTTATTTGACCTTTTTGTTTGTTTGTTTGTTTGTTATTTATTTACTTCTTAAAGAAAATCGATTATTCTTGTAGTTTTTTTTTAAAAAACGTTTTCATTTCCTTTTGGAAAAGTTCCACCATTTTCTTTTTTTTTGGGTTTCTTACAGGAAGCAAAACCAGTACGTCTTAAAGGACTCCACGTTATATATTCTGCCAAAATAATTGATAAATTAATGACCGTAGCAAAACCTTTTATGAAATCCGAATTGCAAAAATTGGTAAGTTAAATAAATAAATAAATAATAATTATAATAATTTTGCCGTTTTTTAAAAGAGAGAAAAAAGTTTTAACTTTACTTCTGGAACTTTCCTACCATCCGTTCCAAAAAAAAAAAAAAAAAAAAACCTGTTTTTTTCCGTTAATATTTATTTTAATGACGTCAACTTAACCGTCAGGTTTTTTTTTACCGTTACTATTAAATAAATTTCGTCTGCTTTTTTTTTTATTTTGTTTAACGATCGAATTATGTAAATTTTTTTTTATATTTTTTTTCTATAAAAAATATCAGTTTTTTTTTTTTAAAGTCAAATAATTGCGGATTTTGTTTCGTTTTGTCGTCTGCTGTAGATTTTTTATTTATTTAACGTCTCATATTTATCATTTTTTTTACAGATAAAAATTCACACGAGTGATAACATGAATGATTTTTTTAATTACGTTCCACAAGAAATAATGCCAGAAGATTACGGTGGTAAAGCAAAATCATTATTTACACTTCACGGTAAGTTAAACATTGATTTTAAATAATTCTTGGTTTTTTTTAATAATTTTTTTTTCCCTCTTTTTCAATGAAATGCATTCATTCATTCATTCATTCGTACGTTCGTTCTAAAGAAGAGAATAGAATTTTGATGGAAGAAAAATATACTCAATGGATAGCTGAAGAAGAAAATTTATTAAAAATTGCTTGCGAACTTAGGCATTTGCAAAAAAATAGTTCGTCAACCGAATCTGTCGGAACATTTAAAAGTTTATCTATTGACTAGTCAATTCTATTATTATTATTATTACTGATGTTGTTATCATCATTATCATCATCGTATAGCAAGTCGCGAATTTCCTACGTAGAAATTTTTAATGCGTTTGGGGAATTAATTTAATTTTCTTTTTTTTTTGTTAGTCCTGTAACGTATTATCAATCACCCTGTTATCATTTTATAATATTTCGTTATCATTTATGGCAAAAGATGATAAACTTCTGCCACGTCGTCACGCATTCGGATATTGTTAAATGACGTGTCGATCCTTAATCGATTCGGGTGCTTTTCCGATCGGTATAATAATATCTTATAATCATTTTCGATTTATGACCTCGTTTAACATCTGGTGGATTTTCACCCCACGTATATTTCCGGTTATGTACAGAATTTGAGTTTTTCTTTTACAATCCGCGAGATTATTTCTAAAATCCGTAAAATTGTTGACAATTCTATCTATAAATGTTTTTACTTCTCTTGTGTTTCCGCTTTTTTTTCCAGACATCCAAACAGACAACTTCCGTTAAATTTTTTTGAAATTTCCCGCCTTTTTTTTTTGCAACGTGCGTGCGTCTGTTCATAAGTTTTTTTGTTATCATCGAATTGAATTCAAGTTATCAGTAAAAATTTTCATTTGTTTCAATTAAAACGTTTTTTTTTTCTTATCAATGCAGTTATCACACAATTATTATTATTATTAACATTATTATTACGTGCACGGATGGGTCATTTCGGGTCACGATAAATTATAATAAATACGTATTATTATTATTATTATTACTGTCGTTTATTTAAGTTTTTTATTTATTTATTTATTGATAGATCGATCGATCGATCGTGCGTTTACAACATTGTTTTTATTATTATTATTATTTTTTTAATTTATTATTTGTTTAAATAAAAAAATAAAAAAATGTTTTTTTTATTAGTTTTTATAAAATTAAATTAACGAATGAGGAATTACAGAGAGAGAAATCAAATTTTAAAAAAAAAATATTTACGTATATAATTTTTTTTTGCTCTCGTCTAATTCCAGCTCTCCAGATTTTACTTTTCCAGCCGCGGTTTTTTTTTTTTATGTTGTAAAAGGCGCACATACACACGCACGCACACACACTTGCCTCGATTGAGAAATTAAATTAACATCCGATTCTTTTGTTTTTTTGTTTTTTATTATTATGCCGTTATGAATATGTATGAGAAAACGGGAAAAATTGACTTAAAGTTAAAAATAAAAATATGGGAATCCCCTCCCCCTTCTATCACCCCTTCCCCTTCCCATCTTTGATTTATTCGACACGTATCATCAAAATTCGTGATTAAAAAAAAAAAAAAAAACTGGAAAAAGGGTATAAAAAAAAAAATTTTTTTTTGGAACGAGTTTTTATTTATTAAAAAAAAAAATTTAACGGAGAAAATGAAAAAAAAATTAAACTATCGATTATTTTAAGAAATTTGATGATTCTGATGAAATTTCCATCGATTATTATTATTAATCATTTCCGGTTTTTCCGAAAAATTTTTTTTTTTTTTAAACGTGATGAAAAAATTTGACAATGATAATAATTATTATTCATATTTTTTATTGAATTTTTTTTTTTTTTTAAATATTATCACGAATCCGCTGCCATTTTTTTTTTTAAATAAAAATGCCCGCGCATTTTTTTTTTCTATTTTATTAATAATCATTTTCCGTTTCCGTTTTCCTTTTTATATGTAAAAAAAAAAAAAAAACCATTCACGAGTTATATGATGAAAAAAAAAGAAAAAAAAAGGCGTCTGGTGATATAGATGTCTGGAAAATTCATTTCTTTAAGTGAAGACAAAATTTTCTTTCCTTCCCTTTTCCCTGCCTCCCCCTTCCCCTTCCCCCCAACATCATTTCTCTCCGCCTTTTCTCCGGGTTTTCTTCTCCACTCTCCCCCCCCCCCAAAAAAAAAAAAAACTTTTTTTCTATTCTTTTTTTTTTAAAATTTCAAACCTATCCCTCCTCCTCCTTTCCGTCCTTTCGCATACCGCGAGGGAAATAGAATCAGATGAAGGAGAAAAAAAAGAAGAAGAAAAAAAAAAGAAGAAGAAAAAAAAAAGAAAGTGATGATGATGATAATAATAATAATAATTCCGGAATAAATATAAATTTGAAAAGTATTGAAATTGAAAATGTCTTTTAGTGATATTTTTTTCTTCTGCTTTTTTCTTTCTTTCTTTCTTTTTCTATTTTTTCTTTCTCTCTTTCTTTCTTTCTTACTCTTTTACATCTTTTCATTTTTTTTTCTTTTCTTCCTTTTTTAGTTGCGACAACATTTCTTTCAATAGACGACGAACAATTTATTATTATAAATTTCCTCTCTCTCTTTCTCTCTCTGTCTCTCCTTCTCGATGGAATAAGAGGAGGAGGGGGAAGAGGGAGGAGAGAGAGAGAGAGAGAGAGAAAATTTTTTTTCTCTCGACATATGCACAATTTTAAAATGAGTTTTTAGTATTAAGATAAAATATTGGTTAGGAGCGGTTTTTTTGGCAGGTTAAACAATTTTTCGAATTTTCTTTTCTTTTCTCTCCCTCTCCCTCCTTTCAACTCCCCTCCTCCCACAATCGTCTTTAAAAAATTTATACGTACGTTACATGCGTGTACACATATAAAAAATAATAATAATGATAATAATTCAATTGAATAATGTAAATTTATCTACGTAGATAAATTTTTTTTTTTTTAACGTAAAAAAAAGGTGATATTGTAATTAATGACGAAAATATTTAAATTTATATTCGAACGTGTCGCACATATTTTTTTTTTTTTGTTCGTTCGTTCCACTACCTTTTTTTTTCAAATCCTTTTCTTCTTCCACTTCTTTTTCTTCTTTCTTCTCGTGTGTAAAATTGATCGTTTGACACCTTGCGAACGTCTAAAAAAAAAAAATTTTTTTTATAAATGTATACACACCAGAAAATTTATGTAATGGAATTTTCATGTAACGATATAATAAAATAATTACGTTATTTGAATTTTATGTACATTAAATTTTATGTACGTTTAAAAGGCTTGCAATTAAAATAAAACACACAGACACCCCTTATCCTCCCCCTCCCCCATCTTCCTACACCCGTCACGAATGATGACGACGTCAACAAAAACAAATAATAATGATAAAAAACGAGGATTAAATTTTTTTAAAAAATTTTTAACTCCTCTTCTCTTTCCCTCCCTCATAAAAAAAATTTTAAATTCGAATCAATTTAAATTTTTCAGTTTTATATTTAAACGGTAAAACGATAACAATAATAATAATAATAATGATGATGATGATGATGATGATGATTAATTTTTAAATGATTGATGAGACGTTTAAGTGAGAAGAGGGAGAAAAATTTATTTAAAAAAATTTTTTTTTTTTTGTTTCGTACGATTAATTTTTAAATAATTTTGGCGCGTTTTTTTTTGTTTAAATGTTTTTTTTTTCAAAAAATAATAATAATAATAATAATAATAATAATAATAATAATAATAGAAAAACTAATTTAAACTTTTTTTTCCAGTTGAAAATAATAATAATAATTTAAGTTTGTAGTTGGGTGAGGAAAAAAAAAAATAAAATAAAATAAAATTTTTTTTTTTTCCAACTTTTGTTTTACGTCGAATTCGTCTCGTGTGGAAAAGTGCGTGAGTGCGTGTACGTGTGCGTGTGTGCGTGTATTTGTCTAGTTTCAACGTAGAAATTTATTATTATAGTCTCGCAAATGTTACTTTCTTATTCACCAGGTTGTTAAATTGGATAAGTTTCGAGGTGTAAAATACGTTTTAAAAACAAAATTTTTTTCCCTCCCCCCCTAAAAAAAAAAAAAAATGATGTACAGATAAATTTCTTTTTCCCTCCAGTTCCAAAATTTTCCTTTTTTTTTTGTATTCCAGTTGATAATTTTTTAAACGTGTCAAAATAACAATAATTATTATTATTATTTAATTAATTAAAATAGTTTAAATAATAAGGTGAAAAAAAACGTTAAATTCCAGGTAACCGAAAAAAAATTAATTTAACCCTGTTAAAAATGTTATCCAGACTTTAAATATTTATTATTATTATTATTATTTTATTTTTCATTTACGTAACAAAAGTATGAAAAAAATAATTAAATAAATTTGCTGGAATTAAAGTTTGAAAACATTTTCAAAAAAAAAAAAAATTTTTTTACCACAAAAGTTATAAACTAACGATTTTGATATTAACGAAAAATATTAATATAAATAATTTTATAACGAAAAAGTTTTTTTTTGTTATTTATTTTCTATTTTATCTGATAAAAGATTTGTAATTCTAAAAAGTCTACACGTAACCGGATGTCCGAAATTTTACCGGATGTTTTGGCTCTTTTATAAAACTCAAGGAAATGACGTAAGGGATACAAAAAAGGAAAACAAAAAAATCCTTCGCTTCGATTTTTCTAATTCGAAAAAAAAAAAAGAAAAAAAAATTTCTCCTCTTTCTTTCTTCCTTTCATTCTTTTTTTTTTTTTACATCGTTTAACTATTTCCGGATTAACTTCTACAATCGATTTTTTCATTATTATTGTTATTATTATTTTCACTTATTATTCACGACAATTGTTCTAGTGTTTGTTGGTTTATTTTCAATATTTATTCCAGGCTTCTACCTGAATCAGTTACCATATGACTTATTTCGAAGAACTATTTCAACACTTAATTTTCCTACTATTTCCCAATTTCATAATTTTCCCTTATGCATTTCATCCTTAATTTAGGCACACAATATACAAATTACAATTTTGTAAACTTAAAGTAACAATACAACAATTTAATACAATTTAATCCATAATACAATAATACAATTTTAAACTTAAGTAATCTTAAGGTAGTTCAAAAGTTTTCTAATCTTAAAATTTTACACTAAAAATATGACAAAATACATTATAATGTATCAGAAAAACATAAGAATGAAGAGGTTTAGTTTTTTTTATCAATCCACCAAATGGATTAACCAATCACGAGTGAAAAT